AATCCAGAATTTCAATTTTTTATCACGTATTGTTAACGTTAAACAATGAACTTTGCTATACACATGCTGCATTGTTTCCTAGGCAGCGCATGTAAAATTTAATGTGTTAAAAAAATTAATGGTTTCAATTCTTCCAGTTTTTCTTTTATGTAAAGTATTAAAATAATGATAATATAATCCAACACAACCAATTCAAAAGAAGGGCTTTTGTGGGTGGATACATAGAGGAGGAGATACAATAGAGTGCGCGTGAACCTACTGCGCAGGTTTCAACATGCGGTGGCCGAAGTCACGTGACTTTGGGACACCGGTAGCTTGTTTTGCATTGTATTGTGTGCTTGTTGTTATTTCTTGTGTAACAGCGTAATTATTTGGGGGCCTACTAGTTTAGACAGGATCATCTGGAAATGTTTTTCAGCTGCATACGGAGCAAAGGCGGATTCAACAATATCCTACTGCTAAGCAGTATTGCTGGGGCTTACAAGGATTCGTCGATGCATAGCCAGATTTCTTCTTCTGCCTTTGCAAATTGTGTTTCCACAGGATAAACATATTTTAAATGTTATTTCACGCCACTACGCAAGTGTGACACAAGTGAAAGATCCTGAACTGTGCATTGAGGTGCCAATTGACCATATGTATTGCCAGCCCTGAGGAGACTACGACAAGATGGTCGAAACGTCGGCAAAAAGCTTTCGACGTGGCGACACCCGGACAGCCAGATTCACGCACATGACTCTGGCCGCAGAAGCCTACGAATTCAATCTTGAAACTAGATTGTCTCCCTATGTTGTGCGACATTGTAACGTATATTGGAGGATTTGTAGTAAAAAAAAAATTGAAATGTCACTTGCTTGTAAGATAGTTTCTTTGGCGGACTGATATTTATGAGGATTTATTCCTTCATTCAGAGGAAGGATGATCATGAGCCCAAATACCCTTCTGCAGATGTGTAAATCTGCAAAAGAGCAGAAGTAGAAGTAGAATACTTCAAGGGAGAGATGACTTTTAAAAGGGTAGCTATACTACAACACTACAATTGTAACTAGATGTTTGAGAGAATTTGTAAATAATTCCGTTTTTTGTAATTTACTTAACAATATATTGTCAAGAGACGATGCTGAATCACGGATGTATTTGATTGAAGGCAATAATTATTTAAATATATTTGACATTAGGTTAAAAAAAAACATATTGGAAAGAAAAGAACTGAAATTTTTCACCAGAAAACATACGATATTAAAGCTATCAGTAGTGAGAAAATGAACATGAGTTTTATTTAGCTGGGCAGTACAATGGTGTGTATTTATTGGTTGTAGTAGTATGTATTTATGTATTTACTGGTGTAGAGTTCTGTTTTAGTATAAGTTTGGTGTTATGTGTGTATACACAGTCGCTCACTAGGGTACGTTTAGTTATGTTTTATTAGTAAAGTTCTTTGAGAAAATTGCATTTCACTTCTGGTTCAAAGCCCCATTCGATACAGGGTTTTTTGTGTTTCGCCTGTTCTGAGCAAATGAGTGGATCTCGTGACCCCTGTTATGCTCTTAGGAGTTAGCTTCACTATGCGCACGTTTGTTGAGGCATCCCTCTTTGCATGTAACTTGTGAGTAAAGCCTATGTTATGTCAGTCGCTTATGTAATCCAGTAATACAAAAAAAACCTGCGTTTGCATAATCGATGCAAATAAGTTTTGTATAACTTGAGAGGGAAAATGTCTAGTTGAAATGTTGGGAAGAGATTTTTGAGGGGGGGGGGGAGCTCAAGAAAATGTGTGTAATGGTACTTTCCTCCTCCGTATGTCGCATACCAGTTATTTACTGCTCTTTAGACTAAATTAAATAAAATATATATCAAATTAAAAGTTTTCTTTTCCCCCTTCTACAAATCCTTGAAATATTTTGTTAACCTTGTTGTTATATGTCTGATGTGGATAATCCAGTAGCAGAATGTCTAGCATTCGAGTAGTACCGAAATTGGATAATTGCTCATTGGAGTTAATTTATTATTACAAATATTATTATTGTAAGTCCTATTGTAGATAAGTTAAATTCCTGAAAAACAGGTTTTTGGGTAGTATGGGGGGTTGATGAGTGACAAAATTGGAATTTCCGCATTAATTAAATGAGCAGAATATACTTAAAGTAACTTGTATAAGCACATCTTAGGGCTGTGAAATAAATGAGAAAATTAACGCTAGAGTGGAGGGATTTAGATACTGCATTAAATGAAATCTTTTAGTAGCGAGACGGGTGTATAAGCGAGATCGGTTAGGAGAATTAGCATTTTTCGGAGAAAACGGCTGAACGGGTGTACGGCTAACGTCATTTGTGCGTCAATCGTTTTTTCGGTTGACCACACAAACCATGATTCTGGGCAACACGTGTTACCTAATTTGTTTCAAAGTTTAGCAACGGGATTTATCCAGTTTTGGTTTCCAAAAACCTGCAAGAAAGTTTTTTTGACCACAAATTAGCCGTTTTCAGCGCTGTATTAACAGTATGTATCGCGGTATGTGGTGCAAGAAGTAAAAATGGAAGCGCATTGTTTGATGAATAATTTGTACATGGTTGACGCTAACTTTAAAGCACCCAACTGAAAAGGATCAAAGTATCGTTTGAAACTGCCATGGCAAAGTATCGATTATGTGTCCAACCGGATCGAGGTATATACAATTTTCGAGAAAATTGTCTAAACGGGTAGACGCTGACTACGGACGCCACGTTTTGCCCGTCAATCAATTTTTTTCGGAATTAAGAACTTGAATCCTGTTCTGAATTTATACATCGTTTAGAGAGAATAATTTACTAGTGATAGGAAAGGGTTGATCCACGTTTGAGTTTTCTCTGGATAACATGTGTCAATTTTTAGCCGCCGCACGTCTAGTTCTTTTAGTAAGAATGTAGTAGGCCAAGGGGGGGAAACGATGGTTTTAATAGCGTCATTCAAATAATTTACAGCTTTGGAATTTTATATTTTGTTAATTCTTTTTGGGGATTTTGACGCGATTTTATGTGGGGATTTCTGACCGATGATTTGTTTTGCATTTTATGGAATGTTTTCATGATAATGTGAAAAAGTTTGCAAGTTTGATGAGTTGGATGAGTAATTTCTTTCGTGAGTTAGATTCGTTTTGCGAATGAATTCTTTAATTGATTTAATAATGTATCTCTTTGATAATTATAATTTTTTTAAAAGTCCTCTCATAATTTTTCTTTGTATTGCAAATTGGAAGTTCCAGGCAATCGCAGAGCTTTTTTTATTTTCTCTGAGAAAATTCGGTACTTTTAAAGGTTTTGTGCACTGCAACGAGTCAGCGCACGAAACAAAATCATTGCTCGGGAAACATTCATTCAGACATAAGAAAGAGAGAGACTTAATGTATTGGAGCTACATTGCATGGTTCCCTGCACAAAGATGAAATCTTCCTGTGCTCCTGGCAGCTGATAACTGAAAAATTACGCCGCAAAGAAATATTTTCCCTCGTTTCACTATGCACTTATTGTCATTGACGAGTGTATCCAATGGCGAGATGTCTTACTCGCAAGTTCTGGCACATTGACTCGTCTGCCAAGAAACCTAACAATATTAATATATTTTATCTTTTTTCGTTTCCGGTATTTCCATTTTTTTAATATTGTACTAATATCTCTTCAGTCTTCATCCTATTTTAATTTTAGAATTTTTGCAAAATTTTCATTTTTTTCACTTTGCATATGAATATGGATTTTCTCACGAATAATTGGCATTTGAGATCCATTTTTATGAACCAACCTCTCTTTTTTAAGAGTTCGCTGTGATAATATTTTTGAAGGAGTGGAATACATTTAACATTTTTTTGCTTTCTTATGGTTATCCAATGTAATGCGACGTATTTTACTTTCAATTCTTGGTGAAGCGAACTTGAAATAGTTTCCTGATTTTATACCGGCTAAGGTGTCATCCACATTCTCTCTTTTAATGATATTTCGAACTTCAGTTCGAACATGTCTGCAAAACTCTTTCCAAATTTGCTATTTCTCGTTGCGTACTTACATTGTCGAAACTAGGTTGCAATTCTTTCTTTTTTAGTGGTGTGAGATCCAAACCTTTTCCTGTGGCAACTGAAAGCATTTTACATTTCTGTATACTACGTAAGTAGTATTGTAAAGTGGCAGCAAAAAACCTCCGCGTTTTTCATTTTGTGTACCCTCCTAAACGAAAAATGAATAATTTCGTTTCTTTATAAAGCAAGTAACATCCTCTAACACCCGAATCCACGTTTTGTGGGTCGTTGATACTAAAAAAATTGGTATTCGCCAAAACGTTTGTCCGTCTATCTGTGAACAACACTGGTGACCAAATCGTAAGAAATGATATGTGAAATATGATAAAATACTCATATTTTAAAAAAAATGTTCATGGCCTCACTTAAAACAAATTCATAATTCACAGTCTATACGAAAATCAGAAATTGAACATATTTATGGAAATAAAATGCGTTATTTAGTAAGGCTATGGCCCTTTCATAATTTTCAGATGGGCCACGGCCTCCTGACCCACACATCGCGCACACCTATGGCTGTCGCCAATAACCCTATATCTTGTGGATCCTAACTCCCAGTCTTTTGAATGATCTGGTTTGGACAAGATCATCCGTAAATTTTGCGGCATTCAGAGCTCCGTCAACTGTCGTGACATTGTTGTTATTGATCGTATTATTAACATTAATAATAATAATAATAATAATAATAATAATAATAATAATAATAATAATAATACATATGTATTTCTACTACAAGTCTATGTCAGTCGTTACGGAATAAATTTCAAACCAAAGTATTTGTAGAAAGAGTTAGTTGTCTAGTTGGTTCTCGGATGAAGTGGGTGTCCACGCATTGCAAATGGCCGTGGCGACTGCAAAAGCACTGTGCCGGACGCGAGTTTCGCGCGGAGGCGGTGGCTGCCGCGAAGGCGGCGGCGGCGGCGAGGAGGCCGCGGTCCCGTTACCCACTGCGCAGCGCCTGGCGGCGGCGGCGGCGGCAGCGCAGTTCAAAGGCAGAGCCTGTGCAGAGCGCGCAGCCGCTGCCGTCGCCGCCGCCGCCGCATGTGCAGGGGCCGCGCGGGGAGGGCGCTGGCGCTGGCGGGTGCCGGCGCCGGCGCCTGGCTCCTCTTCGTCCTGGCCGACGCTTGGCTACCGCACGCGCGCCCCGTGCCCGGGCCGCGCTCCACAGGTAGGTGTCACTGGTTGGCAGGAACTTGTGATTGAGTGATCGCTAGCTACTAACCTCTAATATAGGGCCTATAACGCTATATTAACTCGTGTGCTGACCATCTGCGCGCATTTCGCCCTGAGAAAGGTCGCAGAATGACGACCGAAACGTTGGTACACATGCCTTGGACACGGCGTCTCCCGGACAGCCGAGCAGTTTCTGACTCCGGCCGCGGAAGCCTATGTTCTCATCTGAGTGATCTGGAACATGAGTTCCGGCGCCGAACTATATGTCGGCTTGCGTGTTTTCTCCAACCATATATCTCCCACTACATTTTTCCCAAGCCGGGACCATCTCTCCCGACTGGTTTCACTGGACAAGTGTAGTAATTAGTGCATGAATGTGTAAGTGTGTGTGTGTGTGTGTGTGTGTGTGTGAAAAGGGGGAGATGAGGGCAAGGTTGATGAAGGAAAGATCGCGCGCGTTCCGTGGTTCTTCGTCCGGAAATGATTGGAAAAAATCAGCGAAAACTACCGATCAGAGCTGCCGGCAAGAATTGTCTATCAGACATCTGTTGAATTTGACCTAGCTATTTAGCTAGAGTTCACCGCTCGAAACCGTGATGCTCATAGTCAGAGTCAGTGACAACACCTGTTACACCTTGTGCAGCAAACTCACCCAATCAGCGACTCCAACTTTTACTTGACCTGATAATTTTATTTGAGAAAGATTGTAATAAAATGTAATGAAATTGTAATGAAATGTAATGTATTGTAATGAAATTGGCCGACGATGTAGTCTGTGATCTACGTTCCGTGATTGCGTAGGCCTGTCCTAACAAATGGAAGTCTTTCACTTTCTACTCTCACCACCCATAGGCGTCACGTTTCTTAAAGTTCAATAAACCGTTTTTAGGTAGCGCATTTTAGGGTGCTCATCAGCCAAGACTATTGGCGCACCTGAATACGAAACAACTTCCCTTAGATCGCAATTACGATTACATGAGATCTAAGGCCCATTGCATGGAGCGCTGCTATGACATTGGCCTGGAAATGATCGAGGGAAACGCAAAGCACGGCAGTTAATATACGAATTTAATTCGGCCAGGCGCCACAAACTCGTTGATGAAACATTCAGCAAATGTTTGGCACTGTTGGTACCCATCCTGCCACCTCCCGTGCTCGGAACGCTCGTCTGTAAGCCGTTGCTTTCTTGTTCGCCGTTATTGCGCCATTCACCCCAATAGCAATAGAACAGGATTTCCCGATCTTAAGTCTACGAGCCTGATCTGACCCATCCAGACGTTCCCGCCCGCATTGCTTCCAGGCCGGGGTTCCCCAAGTGGGTGGAGGAAGCAATCAAGGGGATGCGACGCCGGAGAGACGTACTTTTTTTCGGAGGTACATTGGTAGCAGAGGGGGCAAGCACAGTGTGCTGTTCCCATCAAAACTGAAGTGTACAATCTAATTTCCTGTTAATAGATGCCAACTACTTCAAATTTAATGACAAATTCTACACCCAAGATTCTGGACTACCCATGGGTTCACCCCTCTCACCTTCATTAGCTGATATATTTATGGACAACTGGGAACATTCGTTGTTTGCTTCTGGTCATGCACTTCTAAAAAATCTCCTGTACTGGCACAGATACGTAGACGACGTGTTAGCACTATGGACAGGCACCACCAGACAACTTGATATTTTTACACAGTACATCAACTCCCTACACCCCAACATAAAATTCACCACGGAGATAGAAAATTAATAAAAATCTTTAAACTTCCTTAAACTCACCATCACGCTAGCACAGGACCATCATGAGTTTAACATATTCAGAAACCCCCCCACACTCGGACACAATCATACACAACACTTTATAACACCCCCACACACACACACACACACACGCATCCTTCCATGCGATGGTGCATCGATTAATTTCCATACCTATGTCTCCAGAAAACACAAAAAAGGAAATAAACACCATAAAACATATAGCCAGAATGA